ATGAACTTGTGTATGATCATAATGCAGTCCTTCCTTGGGAGATTCAAACTAGATCGAGGTGTGTCACGCTGCAAAATGATTTGTCAGACGAAGTTTACAAGAATCTTATGATGGATGACTTAGAAGAGTTATGTTGCCATCGACTGCGTGCTCTTGAGAACATCGAAGTTAATAAGCTAAGAATTACGAAGTATTACAATAAGATGGTCAAGAGCAAACAATTTTCTGAAGATGACTTGATCAGGAAGGTGAAATTACTGATCGGGTCAAGAGATAGCAAGTTCGGCAAGTGGTCACCTAATTGGGAAGGACCTTATCGGATTAAATGTTGTCCGTCTGACAATACTTATATTTTGAAAATACTAGAAGGAGAAGAGGAGTTTAACAGAGCAATCAATGAAAAATATCTAAAGAAATATTATTCTAACGTTTGGATTAATACTTGATAGCTGATTTGTTCAATCATCGGCTCCAATAGCCGGTACCAGAAGGGTATCGCATCTAGTTCAAAAATAGATCCAAAGGGGTAAAAGCCGATACGATATATATCGCCTATAGAGCAAAAACAAACATAGATAAATTGGTACATGGAGCATGAGTACAGGGCAAAAGAGAAGCCACTTAAAACGAAGAGATTATTTGCTAGCTTCTCCTATTACAAGCTAAAGGATAGGAAACACTTTGTTCATTATGTCTTCGGTCTGGGAAGCAAGGGCTACAGAGTTGGCGGTGTTTATGAAGTCCTTGACCAGGGGCTCATGGTCCTTAGGGTGTTCAATGGCTGGGAAACCATGGGGAAGAAGTCAAAGCTCATGGCCAGAATGAGCTTGCGCGACAACCAATGCCACGGCAGCACCATGACGAACATCGTGAAGGGCAACCTCTCTGACGTGGTTTGGGACATCGTATAGGCGAACCACCGGTATGGCACCCCTGGCGTTGACGAACCCTGCCGCATACTCTACAGCTGATTGAAGGCTTTCCAACTGGCCCGATAGGTATAGAAAGATTCGAGGGAGAGATAATCAAGATCTTAAAGACAAAACTAAGAAAAATAGAAAATTATGGTGGACGTCTCACCCATGATTCTGACCTCAGCCTCGGCCAACCTCGCTTGAGTGGAGTCGGCCCTATAATCCGAGATGGTTAGAACGTCCTACAGCGTGTTCATATGAAGGTCCATCCGTCCAAGATCACGGGTTGCATCCTTCTGATGATGAAGACGCTGGCGTGGTGGCACAGACTCATCAAGGGCCTCTTCAGCAGACCTCTTGCCATTCGCCATGTCTTTGAGCCTATTGAAAAGCAAATCGCACCAAAGGCACAGAAGGTTTGGGACGAAGCAGGTTGTTTTTTCGATCCACAGCCATGGCCCGTATATATAGCCCGGGAGGTGAGAAGATAGGCTTCATCGGGGTTATGGAATTAAAGTCAGTTATGGAAATGGATCAACACTCCGAAAATTTAGGAACGGATCATAAAATACAACGGATTTGGACTTATTGCATCCCATAATTATAAGATACCATGGGATTGATACAAAATGTTTACATTAACTGACAATTAACCTACTAAGACTGCATTGGATTGAAGGGAGTCTGGATCCCCACAAGACCGAAGGTCATCATAGACTGAGTCATATTGGCCCGTAGATAGAAGTGGCATTAGGGGAGAGAAAAGGCCGCCTGCTGCCCATATATCCAACCGATTTCTCGGTGGTTGGGAAACCGGGGGAAAGAAGTCTATGGTTTCCCCGATGAGCATTTGATAAAGTGAACAAGGGAAACATGTCCACATATTTTAACCCTTGCAAACACTAGAATAGCTCTGTGATCATGGTGAGAAAACTCAGGTGATGTCACAAGAATTCTTCTAACCGCAGTAGCTAATTCTCTTGCTCGACAAGGCGCTGAAATGAGCGACACAATCACCCTATGCACAAGAATTTTTCTAACCGCTCAAGACCCTCATAGCAAGGAATTAGACCATGAAGGGTCTGGCAGAGCCAAAGGCACTCGAGGAGGCAAGCATAAGAGGAACATGACTGAGTTGTTTGGTTGCTCTCGCCAGAGTCGTATAGACATTTATAGTCGGTCTGAAAGGATGGATCCGAGCGCTCGTGAAGCAATAGTGCTCTCGTGAAACTTTGAAGTATGGGCTCATAAGCAGACAAGGACGTTGGTGGAGGTGACGGATAGTAGGCCCTAGATCCAGATTCTCTACCCGTGACTATGGTATATATTTTATTCCAAAATTAGGGGGCATGTGTTTACACCAAAATTTGAAAAGAAGAACGCAGGAGCTCAAACCTACTAGGATTGTGTCATCAATGAATCGATTGCATAAAGATCGATATCAGCTGGTTCAGATGTGGCACTGAGATCGGCTCTCTTCGGATAACATCAGCAGATAACGTTAATGAGCTACGGTTGGCGTCGAGAAAAATGTCGGACTCTACAAAAAGGGAAAGATTAGGGTCCAAGTTATCTTAAGTTAGAAATGTTTTCTCTTATACCAATGTTTGTAATAAGTCGTACTTGAGTAGGATTCATGCTTAGGTTTCGGGTATAAATATTGGACCTTGGCTATTGTAAAAAGCATCCAATCAATCAATACCAATTACCAATTTTGGCTTTACGCCAACCCTTAGGAGTAGGAGTACTGTAGATCTCGACGAGTTCTTCAACAAGCAGGGTTGCATTGGTCCAGCCGACCTCTGGCTTGTCTCTAAGTATCGTCATGACTTATATTTCTGTTTGTAAGGCTGCATCGGTCCGGCCGACCTTTTGCGAGCTCTAGTATAAGCTAGTTATCGACTCTTATCTAGTTCAAATATAGCTGCATCGGTTAAGTTCGATCTCCACTACTCGAATTAGATTAAGGTCAAGTTATCGACTCTACCTAAGTGTGGCGTCCTTCGGGTAGATTCATTAAGTTACCGATCTTGCTGATGTTATTATTGTCATTAGTTTCAGCAATATCAACCTGCCCGATCGAGATTGGTCTAGATTGGTCTCACATCCTTTTTAGTCCATCGTTTATTTTGTTACATTGCGACGGTTCTTACTTTAAACGACGGATTATGTTTCACCGGTTGTTCTACTTCGATCTTGATCATGCATAGTACGCGGTTAGGGCATGTTTGATCTTGAGAAGATTTACTAGCTAGTTGAATTTGGTTTATAGCTCGCTATTATGGATGTAACGATCTGGTCGATCCCCATTGTTAGTACTTTAGATCGGAGGATGCTAATTGGTAGATTTGCTTTCGACCAGGTATGACCCTGGCTGTTTGCTATGTCTGCATCGGCTAAATATGAATAGATCTGTTTATTTTAAAGATTTGATTTGTTGTCTTTATCATGGCTGTCAGTCGAACCCAATTGTTAAATATAATAGGTTAGGTCTGATGAGTTCATAGACATGTCCATGTTAAATAGTCGATTGTTCACATGTTGTAGTCCTTTTTTCTATCTGAATCGGCTATTTCAGCCGATTTGTTTGTGCTTTCACACATATAGCATATCTTTCAGAAAACCTATCAATGTATAGACGGTCTTATGAATTCTTCGATTTTAGTTTGTTATTATCATCATAGCTGCCATCGATCCGGTCGAACCTCACTGTTGATGGTAATAGATTAAAATTAGAGTGTTTGTAGATCCGTTTATACTAGACAGACGATTTGTTCGCATGTTATATCCTTTCTTGTTAAACTCATCGGCTTAATGCTTTACACTGGTAATCATAATATCTGCGTGCATTGTATCTATCATCATAATATCAATCACAACCCATGAGCTTTACAGTCCGTAATCAATCAATTTCTTCGCGTATCGACTATTTAGTCGATTTTTCCGTCTAGCTGCTCCCGAAGCAGCACACTTAGAACTGTCTGGGCAAAATCGGCATGTTCCACCTTAAATTACTGATAAACTTTCTCCCATTGTCAATTGCAGGTCAAATTGACTAGCAAGCCTTCGAGAATTCGCAGGGTTGACTGGTCCAGCGATTGAAGCCAAGCAGATCTCTAGCCTTGCTCTATCAAGTAGATCCTTCCGGCTTGCTGTGTGCTGGCGGGTGTATTGATACGTTTTTATGCCGACGGTAGGCCAGACCAAAATAATAGTATCAAAAAAGCGGAGGAAATTATGTCTTTTTTATTATTACGTATAGATGTATGCCATTTTCATTCAACTGGTGCTCCTGCTACGGTAAAATGAGAGAGAGAGAAATAAGCTACAACTACAGCTACAGCTGCAGCCGAACAAGATCTTACACGAACAAGAAAAATATATAAGCATGTTCGCTTGCTTGCTCGTAAACGATCGTAAATTTTCAGTCAGGAACAGTGTTTTTCTCTCACACCAAACCAGCCAGCAGTAAATAATCCACGATACGATACGGCCTCCCGAACAGGCTTATAAACAAAGTGAGAAGTAGAATCATGGTCCCACGATATGTCGGGGGCCTGGCATCGAATTCATGGCCTTGGACAGTTGGACCTTGGCTGATGCATCCGTTCACCACTTCGCCTCAACCCTCAAGGCCCCATGGCACCCGAGCCCTGAAAAATCTGCTGACTCCCACATGTATTTGCCATCTCCCCCCAAGACACGAGCGGAGCCATGTCAGTTATTCTAGGACCGCAGGCAACGTGACAGCGACGTCTTCATAAGCATCTGCAGCAGACACACTCGAAAAGAAACTGAAAGTTCCGGTCAGACTCGGAGTAAAAATCAACAGGGTAATCAGACGTTTTGTAAAGGTAAACAAAGTGCAGAGCACGCAGCAGAGCTCTTAATCGAAGCACAGCACAGGTACGGCCGTACGGGGCAAACATAAAGGTTCAACACCCGTGCTTTGCCACAATCATGTCAAACCTATCCCGTGTTACACGCCACACATCATGGCCGGTAAAACTTCAGAAACAAGCTAGGAGATACAGTGCAGCAGCTTTGCCTCTCCTCTCCTCTCCTCTCCTCTCCGCTTTTCGCTTCATGACAACTGCTGCAGGCCTCAACCACCGTCCTTACTCCTTAAATGCCCCAACGGTCTGCCGAATTTCTGAAAACGCAACGGCTCCGGCGGTCCGGCCATCGTTTCCTCCGGCGCTGCCTCCCAGCTGTGTTGCCTTCAACCTCTGGCACCTGCTGTGCGCGCGCACTGTGCTCATCCGCCGCTTGTTTCAGGTAACACCTCTGATGCCTTGTCGTACGTACGGAGCACCTCGCGAATCATGACTGTAATCTCGATGGCAAATAACTGCTCTTTTGTCATTTGATTTCTTGTTTGGAAATTATGGGTCGCGCCTTACACTCTCAATGCTGTTTCTCTGCAGCTTGGTAGGGCACCGGTCGCCGAGGACCTTGTGCAGCTGTGCTGGTTGCAGAAGATGGAAAGGAACTGCGACGGTCACGGGGATCCTTCGCAGCAGCATCTCGGTTGTCGCCAGGTGACGAGCTGTTTCGATTTCAAGTAAACAGCGATTCAAAGTCGCAGCATTTCTCGTGACATTATTATATTCTTCCGATGTCAGTGCACTGACGGCCAAGCAAACCAACAACGGCTGTACGACGGAGGCGTTCAGCAGACACCTGCTGTAGAAGGGAACTCGAAGAGGAGGCGCCTGACGTTTCAGAACAAGGCGGCTGAACCTGAAGCTTCCCCGAGCCAGAGGACGCGCCGAGCGTTCCTCCGCTCCCGCACCCGCACCCGCAGGGAGATCCTAGTCAGAGAATGGGGCAAATTGGGCAGCGCGATCAGGCGAGCAGCAGCAGTCTGTCTCGCACCATCGACCGGCGCTGATGAGGACGACCTTGACCTCCCTTATTACGTGCAGCTCGACAAGGTGACTACCCGTGCAGTCCGCGGAGAGGCATTTGGCCCGCTTTACCTGGTTACATGATGATGTCCACTCCACTGTTGGTGATTCAGGGCTGTGATTCAAGTAGTTTAATGCATTTGAGAATGCAGCCCTGAAGACGACATTCAGCAGGAGTTTTTACATGTTGGATGTTCTTTTAGTCCACGGACTTGTAATGCATGTGTGCACATGCTCTTGCCTGATTATGTGGGCTGCTCCCCTCCCTCACTTTGTACTTGATCGGCTGGTTCGTGATTCCACACCAAACCGAGTAATAAAGCAGCTTGTTGAGGGTTAAAAAAAAACAACCCGGAGGGCCAGAATCGTTGATACTCCTAGTAAAGTACTATGTTTTACTTTCAGGTGTATTCTCTCCGTTCTAAATTCTAAGTTGTTTTGACTTTCTAATTAAGCGCGCGTTTAGTTGGCGAAATTTTTTGGTTTAGGTTACTGTAGCACTTTCGTTTGTATTTGGCAATTAGTGTCTAATTATGGACTAATTAGGTTCGAAAGTTTCGTCTCGCGATTTCTCACCCAACTGTGAAATTAGTTTTTTTTTTCCGTCTACATTTAGTACTCCATGCATGTGCCACAAGATTCAATGTGACACTTTGAGGTAAAAATTTTTGGAAACTAAACAGGGCCTAAATATTCTCTATCTTCGAGTGTCTAGTAAAATCCATGTAACTGAAAAGTTAAAACGAGTTACAATTTAGAACAGATAAAGCTGTAGTTTAGCCTAAGCACTGATGAGCGCAACTGCGCAAGTAGAAGCTGTCCTGGGCTCATTTTAGCTGGGCCTATCTTCCACTAGCCCATATGACTGAATTTCTGTTTCTGCCCTATAAACTTACTTAGCCTAGCGATGATCCGCCGGTGTAACGTAAACCTTCTCTCCTCATGCCCTTACGTTGAGAACACAAAGTTAACTGAATGGATTTTTCCCTTCGAGGAGTACATATGATAACTGACGGCGGGTTCTCCAGGTGAATGCGTTCCTTCTTTCCCTCCCACGTCTCCGAATCCTGATTGCAAAGAAGTTCCTATCAGTTCAATATCAGCTGTAAGGAAGTTAGTTGGCGTGTCGAGCTCAATGGAACAGATACCTACATATCACTACCCAAAGAAAGAGACTGAATCAAAAGACATCTAGCCTAGTAGAACAAGAGTTTTTTTTTGTTGAAATATGTAGTAGCCCAGTAGAACAAGAGGCAGCAAGACAACATGAGCTAGGCCAAGGTTGCAAGTTGCTAGTAGAAAACCAAGAGGCAGTCACTCGTTGATTTGTTATCAACCTCACGGAGGCAAAAGCACAGCACGGTCCACCGAACCTAAGCCGTACTGTGTTGGATTCCGTTATAAACCTGTGTAGTACGAGTAGTACTCTGCACAGGACTACAGGAGCAAGCCCAGCATCGTGGACACTGACAGACAGACAGATAGAACGGTAATAATGTGTGTCAATGAAGCAGCGCACGTACAGAGTCGTCCTGTCCCCGCTCTACAAGTTGATTTGTTCCGTGAAGGTGTGAAGATTAGCGAAACCAGAGCACGGCAATCGCCTGCATTCATCACTCACCCCTTGCAGCTTGCACAAGAGCAGGAGACTTGTACCGAGAGAAGTGAGGAGTCGGTCGAGCCCAGGACAGGGCAAAAACTGAGAATGACAGTGCTTACGTACGCTGGTGGTTGCAGAGTCACCGTCGCTGGTCTGAACCAAAGCAGGAGTCTGGACTCTGGAGAGAAGAGTGGAGAATTGTTGTACCGGTAGTGTGGCCTAGTGGGGCGAATCCAGAGTCTGGAAGCGTGCTTTTTTTAGCAGGTCGGTCTCTCTTTTGGTTGCACAACAGTTGCACGGCGTTCCAGAAAGATCACGGATTCACGGCTTGTCTGAAAGGCGAAAGCCGATGGAACCCTGTCCATTGAGGCAGCGCCGCAGCAGGCAGGCAGGATCCCAAGTCAGTGCTCGCCAAAGTACGAAACATAATAATCTCAAAGCTGCTTTGCATAATTGTTGCATTGCGTACGTGGGCGGCCGATGAAAGATGCCGCTGATAATACGCGCGACGACGCGTGTGGGTGGCCCGGGCGGGGAGCGGCGCCATCGGTGGACCCGGGCACGTCCTTGTCACGTCTAATTTTGTTCAGGATCAGGGATTGCCGCATTTGTGCCCTGTTAGTCAGCTAATAAGCCATCGCTGAAAGTACTATTGATTGATTTGTTGTTTAAAAAAATATAGTTGGTTGACTAAAAAAGTATGGCTTATATGCTAAGCGACCAGGGCGCTGATTAGCACACATGTCCCTGCCTGCGCGTCACTGCTCTTACCCGGGTCCTGGGGGTGGTTGGTCGCATGTTGCTGTCCTGTGTCCAGCTCCATCTTGCCACGACTGAAATCATGCATTAGCGATTGTTTCAGAAAATCATGCATTAGCGTGTGGCTCGAGGTCCTGGGTCCTGTTCGGCTGCTTGTGATTTTGTGAACCCAGCAGCAGCGGCTGTTGATATCCCGTGGCTGCTCGGCGAGCGTAGGAGCAACCTGAGCAAGAGTCGCACGTCGCGACGCAGACCACCACAGTCCACAGGGGTGCCGTGCATACCCTCACACACTGACGCCACACGGTTTTGGAGAGCGTGCCGTTCGTCAGCGGTCGTCAGGCGCGCGCGGTTCCTGTTGGCTGACGATGAAATTTGGTTTACGACGATGCTTATGTTAAAATATTGTGAGAGAAAAATATTGTTCCACATCTTATTCATTGAATTAGTATCTAGTGGTTCTGATTGGTAGTTTTCAAGTTTGCACAGGTTAGTTGGTTTGCACCTGATACATTGCCATATAAGTATCCTGGAGAGCTGTACACGACAAAGAACAGAACAAAAGCACCGCCCATCGTGCTGACAGTATCAGAATAATCAGAGGCGGTTCGTGGACAGTATCACTAATGTTGCCTGTCACAGCTGGCTAACACAACACAGGGGCCAAAATTCCTCTGCCGCTGACCACAGCTCAGGCTGCCAACTGCCGAGGCACTTGCCACGTTATTCCCTCACCAGGACTCCAAAATAGCCAGGGACATAATCCATGTTCAGGGGTAACGCATGTAACGACCCTGTCCACCCCCAATAATTGCCTGTTGATTGTCCTTCATATGACCTACAGCACGTAGGAGTAGTAGCACATCTCAATGAATTGATTGTGATTTGTTTTTCCAAACGAAAATAAATCTGGAATTTTGTTGCCGAACGTTACTCCTCCCTCCCGGCTAGGCCAAGCGAATCACGAGGATGCCCTGCCCATGCCCCTGACACTGACAGCAGGGACACCAAGCAAAGCAATTGACCTCACCATCACCCGGGTTCTTGTCCCGGCGCTCTGCTGCCAGCTGCTGCCGTGCTAGCTTCCAATGCGCGGACACGCGATTCATCATCCGTCTTGAAAAGCGGCACACTGTGATCTGTAAAAAACAGCGGTAAACCAGTCGGATTTCGAGGAGCCGAATAAACAAGGGAGGAACTCCTCCCAGCCCAACAAAAAGCACTTTCCTCCTCGCGTCCCGTCAGGGAGGGAGGGGGAGCATTGCTGTGCGGGATGGCGAGGAGGAGGAGGGGAAGCGGTGGCGGGGTGCTGGATGTGGCGCGGCGGCTGATGCTGCTGTCCCTGGCATGCTGCTGCAGCATTTCGCCAGGCGGACGGATCTTCGCTGCTGCGGACACTGACCCCAACGATCGTGAGTTGGAAACTTCTGCTTTCACTGTGCTTCTTCTTCCTTGTGAATTTGTTTGTTTATCGGGTCGCTCTGCCTTTCTGCTTGATGTGTTTGGTTTGGGAGAGTGTAAGATTTGTGGGTGGCTCCAAGCCAAGCCTATATATGCATAGATGGGTTGTTCTTCGTGCCGCGCTCTGGTAGATTCGGTTTCGGAATCAGGAACTCGGCCGAACTGCTCTACCCTCCAACAAGAATCTTGCTTTCCCTTCCCGATTTTCGTAATTCTCTAGTTGTTATTAAAGGTTAATTTTAGGTTGTCGAGGTCTTCGCTTTGTGCGAGGATGCTCTGAATTTTATCTTTTTTCTACATTGCGAAAAGGATGGTGTCTGAATTCGGCCGTTTCTTCGCACAAAACCTCATCAGCTGTGCTGTTCACCGAGCGTCCGGCAGTTTCTTCCGCATTCGTTTTGCGAGCGGCGTGCGCAATTTTTTGGTGGATTTAGACGGGTAATTCAGCAACAGGGATGCACTGGAGATTTTTTTATTTTATTTTTAACACTTTTTTTAACTAATTTTAAATCTAATATTGTTTAATTTTTTTTTTCAAAACTAACACTCTTGGCCGCGCCTATTTGCATGGCGTGGCGAAACGCCTGTGCCGCGCCATGCATGGTGGCGTGGCGAGAGGGCTGACGTGGCGACGACCGGGGCGCTGACCGGTGACGTGGCAGTGTCGTCCTCATCCTCGTCCCCCTCATCAGACAACACAATTGGTGATTGAACGGTGCGACCAGCTCGTGTTCTGTGCTCATCTAACTTCTTTTCCTCAAACCTTGCACGAGCAATCTCTCTGTCATGTTCCTCGCTGTATCCAATCCCTTCATGTATAAAATACAATCAGTTAGCAACGCGATTATATTACATTTAAACTCAGGCAACGAAAAAATGGCCTTCAAGCACTCACTGGCACATAATGCAACAACATGCTCGTTCAAGACCTGCATCTATACTCTTGTCTCCTCCCTTGCCTCCTTGCTTGCTCTCTCCTCCTCTAACACCCTCCGTCTCTCCAATCCCTATTTGTCAATCCCAACATCGATCGGGTTACGAATACCGCGCTGTCTAGCAAACTCACGCATCTTGTCTTTGTGTTGTTTAACAAATACGTTGACGTAGTCAGGTCCATATCCCCTCTTCCGTGCAATTACTTGCCTCCCCTTCAGTTCATCCAAGAACTTAGTTTGACCATCATAACATTTCCACCTGCATTTCCTAGTGCTCTGTTCAAACGAAAAATTATATCATATATGTCTTAGCAAAAGAAACAAAATAC